CTAATAAGAGAGTTTAGGAAGTTCACAGGATACAGAGTAAACATACAAAAATTAATTATATGTTTATGTACTTGAAATAAGCATATGAATACTAAAATTAAAATTATAAGGACTTAGAAAATGAGTTATTTAGGTATAAATCTAACAAAACACATACAGAGCTAGAATTTTGAAAACTACACAACACTGATGGAAAAAAATCAAAGAAGATCTAAATAAATCAAGACACATACCATGTTCATGGATTGCAAGACTTGACATAGCAAAGACATCAATTCTTCCCAAACTAATGTTCAGATTTAATACAATTCCTATCAAAATCCCAGCAAGATTTTGTAGACAAGATTATTATAAAATTTATATGGAAGGACAGAAAAACTAGAATTACTAGAACAATTTTGAAAAAGTAGACTAAAATGGAATCAGTCTACCTGATTTCAAGACCAATTATATAGCTACAGTTATGAAGACTATGTGCTATTGATGAAACAGAACCTAAGACTCAGAAATGACTCAAAAAAATACATCTCCAGCTAATTTTTTACAAAAAATGCAAAAGCAATTTAATGAAAGAAAAACAGCATTTCAACAAATGGTGCTAGAACAAACAGACATCCAAACAACAAAGCAAAAAAGGAAGAAAGAAAAGGAGGGAGGAGGGGAGGAAGGAGAGCCTCTAAGTCTCATACCTCACAAAAATTAATTCAAAATGGGTTATGGACTTAAATGTAAAATATAAATATGAGGTGATGGCAGCAGGAAAGAAATGAGTATAGCTATAAAAGGATGATATGAGGGTTTCTCGTGATAAATACGTGTGTCATCTTGACCATGTCAATGTTAAAATCCTGGCTGTGATATTGTAAGATAATTTTGTAAGATGTTGCCATCAGAGGAAACTGGGTAGAAGGTACATACTAAAACCTCTTTGAATTAGTTCTTACAACTTTATATGAATCTACAGCATTTCAAAATAAAAAGTCTAACATAAAAATAACTAATAATTCAAAAGTTTAATCCATATTCGAGTTTAAAGCAAGAATGGAAATCTCAATGCACCCAAAGGGAAACTTAAGGCCATAGAGTGGATGGAAGTTAAAGCTGGATGGCTCTTGAGAGATCCATGACCAGCTATTCAGATTAAGAGTTAGAATTTACGCCCGCCATGCGGAGGGCTGCTCAACCTGCCCTGGCCGTCGGGCCCGCCACAGTGGGGGTCTCGGAAAAATTAAAATAAAAAATAAATAAATAAAAAGAATTAGAATTTAATTTCCCAGCAGGGGCTAGAATTAGGGCTAGAGTTTTTGACAAGCCAAGAACTGTATTCACTTTAGTAAAGCCTGAGCTAAGAAATGCTATGAACAGGAATTAAATAATGTATTGTAAACAGAAATTAAAACTATTACCTTAATGATCCAGGTGTGCAGTCCAGAAGATAAGTGCTTAGCAGAAGTCAAATGCCCCATGAAAAATCAGAACCCCAATCCTATCTTATGCATGAGGGTAGAGTCTCACATTTTGCACTATCCTTCCAGTGCAGAAATCTAAACCGAAATACTAACAACAAATGCACTTGGAACCAATCCTGTAGTGCCCCAGCAACAGCAAAACCAAAATCACCCCCACTGAAATTCTCATTCCTGAGGATAAATTCAGAGTCTAACTGATTAAAGAACACAGTTCCTCCATCAAAAAGCTGAGAATGGATCAAATCAACCTAAACTGTTAAACAAATTCATACCATAGACAACTCCAAGAGAATACAGCCTCCAACATCTCATTCGAATGACCACATCCAAAACAAAGAAAGCCAGGCTTGCACCCCAGGAATAACAGGCAGATGTCCTCGTCCACATGAAAGTGTTTCCTTCCTAAGAAAGACTTCTCAAGTACTACTTCTGCCCCTACAAGTGAAGAAGTGATTAGAACCAACAGATCCTAGGCCTGCCATCCTGTGAATTTGAATGTAGGGTCAGCCCTGGGTGAAAGAGAGAACAAATACACTAGATGTCAGACCCTACACATGTGGTCAGAAGTCAGACATAGTCCAACCAGTATCCTTTCGACTAGGACCACTCTAGGTAGACACTGGCAAATTTTGGCACACAAGCAAGTGAACTTGAATCCAGTCAAGTAGTGCGAACACAGAAAGGAAAGAAACTCATTTGGCTTTGGTGCCTTTTTGAAATAATCATCCATTAAACATCCAATTGTATGTAAAAATTTCCAAGGTAATCCTGCCAGTGGCGTGTTTCTTCTAGAAAAATCATTCACTGATTTGGATATGAAAATTTTCCATCATCTTAACTACGACTTTGTGCTCCTGAACTTTGTGTGAATCTGATATCTGAATCTGAAAATGCCTATATGATAGTACTCTTGTTCCTTGGGGCCATTTGAAATTGAAAGGGTTCTTCTAGTATTCTTCCCAAGCCTGGGATAATGCTAAACCATACGCAATTTTTCTTAGAAAGCACAAGATGAAAGTAGGGAGCAATTTAGAGCACTGGTTGCACCCCTGGTTGCTCATTAGAATCACCTGGGGAGATCTGCTACTTTAGAGCAATATTGACCAAATACCACCTGTTAACACTCACTTATGCTAAGCAACATTGACTGCACTTTAGAATCTCCTGGGGAGCTTTACAAAATGCTGATGTCTGGAATCTACTATCAGACCAATTAAATCAGAACATCTAGGCTGTGCGGTTGGGACATGGATCCGTTTTAAAAGCTAGACAGCTAATCTTAACGTTGAGCAAGGGTTAAGAATGACTACTCTAGTCCAGGGTTTCTCAAACTTCAGTGGGCATCAGAATCTCCTGGAGAGCTTATTAAAACAAAGGTTTCAGACAGGCAAATCTATAGACTGAATGTGGATTAATGGTTCCCTAGGACTGGAGGAATGGGAAAATGGGTATGTAACTGCTAAGGGATATAGGTTTACTTTGTGGGCTAATGAAAACATTCTAAAATTTATGATGATGGTTGCACAATTCTGAATATGTTTAAGGCCATTGAGCTGTAAACTTTAAGTGGATTAATTGTATGTGAATTATATCTCAGTAAAGCAGCTAAACACACACACACAGATATTTGCCCATCCCCAGAAATTCTAATGCACTAGGTCTGAAGTGGAGCCCATGGGTTTGTCTTTGTTATGAACTCCCATTAAATGTGATGTTCAATTCTGTGAGTCTGCAGGCCATACTGCTCCATCCCATGAAAAGGTGCTCGTGCTTAATGAGCATGATAATGTTTCATCATCAAGGGCTCTTTCTTCAGTTTTGGCCACAAAGGATCAGGTGCCATGATGCTTCCAAAGTTGTCTCACAGAAATGAGAGCCAAGACTGCAAAGCCGGGATGTGATGTGAGTCCACAGCAAGCCTAGAGGTTGACAGCTGGGAAATGTTCTGCAGCTCAGTGAAGCCCCTTGTAAAGCCCGGAGATAAGAGGAAAAGGAAAATAGAAAACCACTCACCATTCTTGATTTTATGCTATGATCTAATTAGGAGGAAATGATAAATACCTAACATGAAAATCCAAATTTACAGAAAGAGGCAAAGCAAGACTTTCTCTTTATTGTAAAATGCAATTCATTCCCAGAGGTTCTTTGGAAAACTTAAACCGCTATATAATGTTTTATATGAATTTTCTCACAGTATTCTAGCAAAACCAAACTCTACAGATACAAGATAAAAAGAGCCCTAAATTACAAAGTACAGAAATTCTTAGCAAAATGGTGGTAACAATAGGAAAATTTGGAACAAGTACCTTTTGTAAGAATGCCAATGCCACTAGAAAGTTTGCCTAACAAACCATCCCTGGCAGAGGTGCCAAGGCCAAAAACATGGACTCCTCCATAACCACCTTCAGGACTCTGGGATCCCTTCCCCTGCAGTCACTTACTCCCTAAACACACACCTCAAAAACTCAGCAGAATTCCTGAGCATTGTTTGCCCTGCAGTTGTTGGTGGGGCTGTCACTGTTTCTGCATTTTGAGATATAGCATATAATAGTAGAAAGACTTGAACCCAAGGTAACTTGCACAGTGAATTTATTCAACGTCTCCAAGCTGCCTCATCTGCTAAAACAAGGCAAAGAGGACAATGTACACAAACCACACAGTAAACCACATATTCCAGTATCTGGCATATTTGAATAATAAAATACGGTAACAGCAGCCAACATTCATTATTTACTATTTATTAAACACTCTTCACAATACCCTATCAAAAGTGTCAGCAAACTTTTCCTGAAAGACCAGATAGCAAATATCGTGTGGTTCCTTGGCCATACAGTACCTATCCCAACTACTCTGCTCTGTTGTTGCAGGTCGAAAATAGCCATAGACAATCTGTAAACACATAGAATATCTGCCTTTCAATAAAACTTTATTTATAAAAACAAGAGGCAGGCCAGATTTGGCCTATGGCTCATAGCTTGCCAAACCTTGCTCCATGAGGTAAATAATATTATTGTCTCCATTTTACAAATGAGAAAACAGAGGCACAAAGGGATCAACTGACCGCCCAAGGCTTCCTCATGTAGTCTGATTATGAAGCACACAGAGTCAACTATTCCATGGCAGCAGCTGCTATCACCGTAACATTCTCACTCAGTGCAAATCTAAGTTCTGCTCATTCAAAATATGCTGCCCAGCCAGTCAGTCAACAATACCCTGAGGGCTGCCTCAGAGGCTGAAGTCCAAACTCAGATCTTTCCTTTTCTTCCCCCTCCAACCCCATCCTGATGTTCCTGGTTGGAGTTCTGACTGCCTCCTCTGAACTCTTAGTGCCCTTATTCTTTGTACCTCTCAAGTTGATCTCTTTTATTTATTAAACACTTTCTCATCAACCCCTCTGGAGGCCAGGATCATCACATCACAGGGGCTTAACTCCCATATGTCAGTGCATCTGTGAATCTGTTGGTAGTAGGTCTACCGGCTGAGGCTCTAGGGGCCAGGGCAGAGGAAGGAAAGGCCAGTGCCCACACTCACCAGTCCATGGCAGGCACTGAAAGCTGCCGTCCCAACTCTGGTGCCCTGCTGCAGAACCGTGCCACTGAGATGGCAGAGGGGGGCGGAGGAAGCCATCATCTTAACATTGGAGAGGTTCCCATATCTTTTCTCCATGATGTAGCTATTGGAAAGAAATCTTCGATTGACGGTCAAGTTAAAAAATAGGTCCTTCTCCTCATGAGTAATTCTGTAGTACACCCAGTCCTCTGAGCCATCCAAATCTCTCTTCCTCCTGCTGCTCGTGATGAGATGGTGCAAGCCATAGGACAGAAAATGCCCACTGGCATCTACTCGAACTGGGCCCACCACATGGTATTCTGGCAGGCTCTTGATAAAATGCTCTGAAAGAAAAGGAGAAATGGAAGAACAGTGAGAGACATCTGTAGTAAGGCAAACCCACTTTCGTTTGGAACTTAGCTGCTAGCTTTTTAATTACAAAGTCCCACTGTTGACTTGAAGTTTAGCGATCCCTTCATCATACAAATACTGTTAACATTAAATTCCCAGAACAACTCGGATTTGCCTGGTGCCCCTCCTCAGTGACATATCGGGTGTTTTATCAGAGACAAATTAAGATGGGAATTAATCCGTGAGGGATACTGTTAGAAAAGGAGCAACCTCTGAATGAGGAACAAGAATCTTTCAAGTCTAGAGTTCAGTAAGACAAATCACAGAGCTTCGCTGTTGATTACAAGGCACTTCAACACATCGGGAGCTTCCTGTTAGGTCAGATTAGAGGGAAAACAACAGAAAAACATGGCAAACTCATCATATACATGCTCACGCCAATTAGAGCATAAGAGTGTTCCATAATGTAACAAAGAATGTGTAAAAGAAGAGGGTTTTTAAAAAAAGGTTTACAAAATGCATATGATAAGGGGATATATCAGGATCTGAGGCATTGGCTCAAAATATAAAAACTGCCACTTTAAACATGCAAGACAGGAACGCTTGATCCAACACAAGAACACATACACATCTGGACCTACTCAAATTTATCTCTCTACCACACCTCCTCATTTTGTTCTTTTAGAATAACAGAGAATCTACCCAGCAGGGAGTTTATCATCACTCTGGATTACAGACTTCTTAAAGAAAACCATTAACCATTTAGTAAGATAAACTATACTTTTGCTAAAAAAAAAAAACCTTCTACTTGTCACCTCAGTTGTAATTTTGCACTTTGTAACTTGCTTTACTTTGCTCATGTAGCTTCTCCAACTAGAATGTCCTTTGCATTCTATCAAAATCCTGTTTAAGCATTCACATCTCCACTCAAATCCTCCCTCTTCATTCTCCTAGTGTCCCTGGCTAAACTTCTCTCTCCTTTCCCTGAACCCTCATGCCCTTACTTTCTGTACCTCCCAGAATGGCTTTGTCTTATATTGCCTTTTATTATTTATCACCAAATCCTTTGAGGGTCAGAACCTTGTACATCACAGGTGCTCAGTTCTTATATGTTGATATATCAGTAAACACTATGTAGCCAGTTAATTAAAATAACTGAACTTAATGGAATATAAAAGAGCTTTTTCTTTTCCAGACAACTACTTCCAAAATGATTCCAAGGTGGAATCATTCTTCTCTGCCTTGGATGAAATATGGGGCAGAACACAGAGTTTCCACTCTCAGATACTAACAAATGGTCTCCATTTTTAGGTGTAAGAAGTCCGGACGCATTACTTCCAAGTGCAGCAGCTAGGCACAACAGACCACGCGGCAACATGGGCAAATCTTAACAGCAATGCTCCATGAAAAACAATAAATAAAACAAGCTAATGCAGAGCTATTTACACTCCTGGAAAATGCGTACACACTGAAACAATAATACAACATTTTCCAGAACACACAAGAACAAGAAATACATACGGAACCCATTAAAATGGTTTTCCATGGGGAAGAACGGGAGTAGGGAGTGGGAACAAAAATGCATAAATATATATAATAAAAAAAGCTTTTTTACAAATTCATGATACGAGTGTGCCATGAACTGAGGTGTATAACTGACTCAGTCCTCTCTCCTGCCCACTTACTCCCCTAAGAAATGTCTGCACCAATTTAGTATTGGAGGACCTTCCAAGTCTAGACCTACCAAAGAGAGAAACTGTGGGTGGGGAGGTGGATGCAGTCAGCTCTTGTAGTATTTCTCTCTGGCTGCTCTTCTCCTCTGCTACTCACAGTGATGCCTCTGGCTCTTCCAGGGCTCAAACAGGGAAGGCAGTTAGGGGCAGAAAATATCTTATTCAGTTGAGTCTAGCATGGTGACAACTAGCAATGGTGCCCTGTATGTAGCCAGTGTCCACATGCTGACTGACCTCTTCTATTAAGAGAAGCTCCATAGTCATTAGGAGACCTCTGCCCCCTTCAGGTTCCTCAATGTGAGCAATTCCTCTTCCAACTGGCCACCCACTGCTTTCCCATCTTCTACCTCTACTGAAACCATGTTATCCCTGCAGGGCATCCTCCTTGGCCTCTTTTCAAGATGATCCACATCTGGTTGCCTCCCATGAGGTCCAAATCTGGCTCACAAGAGGAACCACATCCCTGATCTTCCCTCAACCCCCACCCCACATCATGAAAATCAGGCCACTCCTGACCATGCTCTTGGTCAGTCCTGTCACTAAATATCCTTCCAGCCAGTCTTTTGCCTATCAGTATTTTAAGGCTAAAATGTTAGTGGCCATGCTCCCCAAGCCCACATCAAGCCCTCTGAGACCTCTAACCATCCCTTCACGTGTCTTGAGTTGGGGCACAGTAGAGGGAATGAATGCCCTGGCACTCTCATCTCTCCTGAAGAAATTCTGTCTCTGAAATCTCTCCACAGGCCTTTAAGCCTCTCCTCTTGAGCATCCTAGGAGAGTGAAGGAATTAGCATCACATCAACACCCTGCACATCCCACACACAGTCTGAAAATTCTCTTTAAATATGTATGAAAATGTATTCTTTTTTTTCTTCTCAGACTTAAGATTTTGGCAGAAACTGAGACAAAGAAAAAGTCTCAGTTTAATACCCTGGTACACGTGCAAGTCTTTGCATCTTCGTCAAAACAGAAAAATAAGCATCTTTTCTAGCAGATTACTTTTTCAAAAAGCCAGATTGATTGATTTAAGGGGAGCACAAATGAAAAGGACCACATTTTTAAAAATGAATTCTGAATAAAATGTTACATTCTTCCAAGTCAAATGAGCATATAACCTATTGAACAACTCTGAAGAGTTGAAAATATCTTATTTGTTATACCCAGAAAACTACTATAATAAAATTTAGGTTGTCATGAAATAAACTAACAAGTATGATTCTCAATCTGACATTATTAAAAAAAAATACTCTAAATTTTTATGTAAGTTGATATATCAAAATAATTGTGGCAATTCTGCAGAAGTATGATCTTTTCTATAATTGCAACTGTGACATATATTAATATATATGCATATGAACAAAGCCTTTGAAATAATAGGTAAGAGTGAAATGTTTATGATGATGAGATTTGGGGTGTGGTTTTTCCTTTTGAAATTTGTTTCAGGAAAAGCAAAAAGTTCCTGTGTCGCTTTTCCCAATTAAAGATAAATAGGTGAGAAGGACTGAATGAGAGATTGCTGTGCTGGCTTGTAGGAGAACTATATAAAATATCCAGTATACAAGGTAAGTAAGGCATGCCAGTGCCCCATGACACAAGGCAGCCTGACACTGGTCGCTCCTGACGCCCTGCTGGCTGTGCCCATTACAGCTGGCTGCATCCTGAGGGAAGAATTCACCTTGGAAGAGGCATCCCTTGACTGAGACCACTGGACATAGGGAGGGAATGGCTAGAGTAGAGCTCAAGGTCTTCTCAGGCAATAGGAAAGCAAAATGAGTTTGGAGTGACAGATCCACAGGAGTGTTATCAGGAGGTAAGGGTGTGACAAAAAGCAGGCCAGGGTGGAAGCAGCTTTGAATGGCAGGCTAGTATTCTGCCATCCAGGCCATCCAGTGGATAGAAGCAATAATCCCAGATCTGAGTTAGAAGAACTACAACGGGAAGAGCATGGAGGAAGCAAACTTAATTGAGGAGTTATGTCAAGGTATCCAGAAAACATATTTTTCCATACGGTTTCCAACTTAAAATATCCCTTATAAAAACCACTTCTGAAGATACATCTCAGAATCTTAAATCTCAAGAATCAAATTTAAACATGATTCTTGAAAGTATAGAATTAAAGACTAAAGCTTGTCAAAGCCCTAGCACCTATTGCTCAAAAAATAAAAGAGCAAACAAATTTATAAATTTTGACCCAGTTGCTTTTGATCTAATGGATTTTTAAGAGAGCCAATCTAAATTGGCTGTAGAATAATATGATGATAATAATTACAGTGTTTCATAAGCACTTATTATGAGTCAGGTACCATAAGTCTTTCCTCATTCGGTACTCATAGCAGCCCTGCGACAGAGATTCAGTTGGCATCCCCGTTTCAGAGGTAAGGAAACTTGAATGTAGGAAGTCACTACGCCACATTATACAACATTCCTTGGATTGAAACGCTGTGCCTCCTATTTCAAAACCATGCTCTAACCACCACACTTGATTAGTAAATAAAGAAAAGCAAGTGCTCTTGGCAGAGAGCATAGCAAGGTTAGAGCTAATAACACTGCTCCTAGGGACCGTGATCTGACCGGACAAGAAGTGCTTCACCTCTTTACACCTCAATATGCTTAGCAATCAATGGACGTAGTAATTGCCTCTTTTTCAGGCAAAGTAATGGGGAATAAGATCAGTTTTCCCTCCTAATCTGACTGCATAGGAGGCAGCTAAGTCATGGCAGCCCACAGATGTGGATGGAAATCGGAAGTCACTTACAATGTGTGGTTTGTTCAGCTACCTCATCTATACAAAGGGCATAATAATAATAACATCTACCTCCCTGGTAGCCGAGTTTCCACCCTTAAAACCAACAATGCTAGTGTTTAGCTAATGAATGTTATTTGTCAAGTACAATTTTAAATCTATTAATATGTTGGAGCCTCACTCCCAGCCTAGGAGTTAGATGCTTTTTAATGGAACGCTTCACAGATGGGCATGTCATCCTTGAACAGGGGCCACGCTAATCTCTGTATTGCTCCGATGGTAGCATATGTGCTCACAAAGCGAACATTAATTGTATTTATTCTTTATATTTGTTTCTGTCTTAGAGAGAATTGAATGTCTAACACGCATTTCTAAAAAAAGTTATGAAATTCTGTAATAGAGGTTTATTATTTTCATAGTTATCTTCCATGTAAGATAACTGTAACCTTGCAACACTTTTTATTACAGAAATTTACACATGTTGAAAGGTTGTTGAAATGTTGTGAAGAACTGTGTTGGTCTCCTCAAAATTGTGAAGTATGCCACAGAAGGATGGATTTGCTCACCAACTCTATTATAACTAATCCACTAATTATATAGTTTATTATAACCAACACAAAATATCAAATCTGTGGACTCTTTTCTTATATTAATAGCTAAAATCATTTCCTCCTTGCAGAATTTCTTTTGGCAAATAGAATACATAAATAATTAAAACACTTATCTGAAAACACTGCAACGTTCCCTCTGTTTCTTGCACAAGACTGGAGTTCATCTCTAATATGGAATAAAGTGCCTGTCCTGTTGATTTCACAGAGATGTCAGGAGCAAAAGAGGTCACGGAACAGACTAGTGCTTTGTAAACAGCATAGGGGCAAACAAACCTAAGGGGATATGATTGGCTGTAGAAAAGAGGGAGTATGTTGAGTGCAAGCTTAATATTTCCCGTTGTTCTGATACTTGGTTGTGAACCAAGAAATCCTGAGTAAGTCACAGCATATTCTTACATCACAACTGAGCAATGTAGAAAGAATACTGAACAGAGTTAATCAAATAGCCTGTTTCTATGTTTCTAGTCCAAGAAAGGACTAGATTTATCTCCATACTCCTTCCAATGACTAAAACCCTGACTTAGCCCAACTCTTAGAACTAGAAGGAACCTAAAAGGTTATTTAGTGTCTGAGTCTGTCTCCAACCAGGGAACCCTGTGCAATTCCCTTTATCCTCCTGGTGAAGGGGCATTTAGTAGGTGCTCAATCATGTATGTTCATTAACTGATGCCCTAGACCTCCCATTCTTATCTATAAAAGTAAAAATGGTGGCCAGGCATGGTGGCTCATTCTTGTAATCCCAGCATTTTGGGAGGTCGAAGTGGGAGGATCCCTCAAGGCCAGGAACGCTCAAGACTGATCGTTCAAGATCAGTCTGGGCAACATAGCTAGACCTCATCGCCATAAAAAAACAAATAAAATTTTTCCAAACTAAGAATGAGATGATCTTTGAAATAAGTTGCAAGTTTAACATTCAGGATTTGAGTGCATTCAAAAATGTTATCAAAGTGGACACAGAAGTCTAAGGACATTGGTTATTTGTGAGGCTGTAGGTAGGTCATTTGGAGGGAAAACCCAGGCTATTCTAATCCCAAATAGCCTTAGAATATCCTTCTCTACTAGTTTGCCCTCATCTATCCCTTCCTCCCTCTTTCCCACTCCCCTTAATTCTTGCTTAGAAATTTCTCCTTTGCACCAAATGTAAATTATTTGTAAATCCACTAGGGAATTGATTATGGTTGGTGAAATGCTTTTAAAACCTGAAATTACTGGCCTGGTGTGGTGGCTCACACCTGTAATCCTGGCACTTTTGGAGGCTGAGGCAGGCAGATCACCTGAGGTCAGGAGTTTGACACAGCCCGGCCAACATGGTGAAACTCCATCTCTACTAAAAATACAAAAATTAGCTGGGCATGGTGGCTCATCTCTGTAATCCCAGCTACTCAGGAGGTTGAGGCAGGAGAGTCACTTGAACCCCAGAGGTAGAGGTTGCAGTGAGCCAAGATGGAGCCACTGCACTCCAGCCTGAGAGACAAAGAACAACACCACCTCAAAAAATATATATATTATTTTTTAAACCTAAATAAATAGATATCACCAATAAGCTTGGAGCACTTTATAGGTTTTTTTGAGCATTGGATACTCTCAGCACATAGCTCTACATAGAGGTGACTAGGGAAAATAATCATATCTCACTTTCCAGAGAGCAAAAACCACGGCCCTGTGGTGTCTGCTTCACACCAAGCTGAATGCCCTTACAAAGAAGATGTGGAGAAAACAGAGCTGAAAACCAACCCAGAAGAATGTGTGTCTTTGAACCAAATCATCTCCCAATGCCCTGGGAAGTGCTTGCAGGCTTTGTTTGTGCTGCCCCAGAAGAGAGACTTTTCACAAAGGAACTGTTTTGCAAAGAACAACAAGCCCTGCTATTTTAAACTTAGGAGTGGGAGATTGTATCTGGACCGTTTACACAAGTGAGTGCTGGCTGGTTGACATCTAACCCCAGTGCTTGCCGGCTCCAGCTTTCCAAGTAACGCAAAGAGAAGGACTTGCTTCTGATACTTCTTAAGGCCACAGCGGATTAATTCTCCAGCAATGTTTGAATTTTACAACATGGGCAGAAAACCCTCCTTAGAAATCCTAAACAAGGACAGGCTGGTGATGTTGATCATTCAAGTGTCCTTGGGAATTAAAGGGATGTCAGAAAGCCACGGAGGACAGTTCCGGAGACTTCAGCACAGTCAGCAAACACAGGACTGGGTGAATGCCAACCCAGTGCTCTGTGTGCGTGTGTGTGTGTGCGTGTGCATACACGCCCATATATCCCTATTATTGCTATAGGACAGTGCTGCATGATTCTAAGAGTCAGGCTACCTGGGCTCAAAACCCTGCTCCATATTAGCTGGGTTCATAAGCTCTCCCAGCTGCAGCTTCCTCATCTGTATAGCAGGGACAGCAACACTGGTACCTGCACCCTGGAAGGCTATTGCCAGTGGTCAGATGAGCTGACACAGATTGCCATGCGGGCCATTGCTGCTGCTAGGACTGTTTACCCCCAGAGGTACAATGAACCTCTTACCAAACCGGAAGGTGTCTCTGACCCTTCCAGGTCCAAGAAACTGCTGAGTGTTAGGCTTAAACGAATAAAAACAACAACAAATTGTCCACCAGAACGCTTCCAATGCTTTTTACAATAACACGAGTTCAGAAATCACAAAGAGAGGCAGCCAGCTGTGGTCAGCGAGGCAGGACAGGAAAAAGTGAGCCCTTCCCGAGGTATATTACCCCCAAAAGGACTGTTCTTTTAAAAACACAACCCTAAATCTTTCCAGGAAACCAAAACACAGCCAAGCCTGCTCGGTAGGGGGGCAGAATCACATTTCCCCTTTCCTGACCAGACGTTTAAAACGAACTATAAACACTGCAGTGACTGCCAGTAGCCAGTTGGCACTTTAAAAAAAAAAAAAAAAAAAGTAATTTTCTATGTTCAGAGTCTGAAAAATAGGGAATCGAAACAATACAGCATTCAAAGCGGAGACAAAAGAGAAAAAGTGACCAGCTAGCTCTTGGGTCTTTCAAAGGCCGCAGTGTCATCCCTGTAGAGGAGCGAGGTACTCACCTTTCTGTAAGAGTGAAGGACTCATCGCCTTACGCACTGAATTCTGAGAAAGCCTAGGTTCCTGAGCTCCCAGCCCAGATTTTTTTTATAACGCAGCCAAATGGCTTTGCAGAGTTCAGTTCTGCCGGGTAGGGGAAGGGAAAAGGGAGCAGCAAAGTTCCTGCATGTCTTACCACCACCGTTTTAAAAGGATATTAAGAAAAGCCACTAACCTTGCCTCCTGTCCGGGAAGCTAAACGGGCCTGGCTGAGGCTGTCTCCCATGGCAAAGCGCCCCAAAGTTGAGGAGCTGAGCCACCATGGAAAGGTTTGCAAGCCAGCTCCGCTGGGCACATGGCATGATTCAGTTGTTGGGGAGAAGAAAAGTCAACAAAGTTTTAGCCCTCAGCTCCAGAAATCAAGTGCTCGCCTGTGGCCCAGCAGGAAGATGCAGGGGTGCATGGTCCAGGCGGGAGAAGGCAGCGACTGCAAAGCTGCCCGCGATCTCCCTGTGCTTTTTGCAGCAGAAAGGGGCTAGACACCTTTTTCCCCTCCCTCCTCCTAAAAGGGGGAGTGATTCAGCTAACAGTGTCCGCTTTCCGCGGGGTGTGGAATGGGCCAGAGAGGGAGGGCGCAGCCCACCCCGGTTCCCACCCCGGTCCCCACCCCTCCGCCTCCCGCATGCCCCGGGGCCTCGCAACCCGCTCCGTGCATCGTCCTCCGGGACTCCCACCCCCGCGTTCCTCCGGCCCCGCCCCGAACTCCGGGCCCAGCCAGCCGAGCTGACCGAGCCAGCCAAATAGGGAGCCCCGGAAGAGCCTCCCTGGTCCGCACTCGAGGAAGCTACGAGTGAGAGGCCCCCAGGACAGCCCCCCAGAGTACTGCAACACGAAGAGAACAGAGTTGGGGCAGAGGCGGCCCCACTCCCTCCATCCTTCTGCGCTCAGCGCTGCCCCCACCCCTGCTGTTCTCCTCCAAGTTCCTGAACTTTTCCCAACATCGCTCTATCAAGACTCCTCACCCACTCGGACCGCTCTGGGATTCTCTTCCAATGGAAAAAAACTCTGACAATTTTTGTCTTTGCCAAGTCACACAAAGGGAAATGGGCTGCACTAATCTGCTGCTGAGGCCTCAGCCAAGCCCCCTCATCTCTGCAATGAGGGTGACTGCAGCAAATGCCTGTGGGCCCTCTGAGTCTGCAGGTCTCTGGGCAGCTTTTCTGCTTTTAGAACCCCATCTTTCCTAGCCCACCTCCATTCACTCAAAAGGAAACCAGGAGAGTGGAGGAAGGAAGTCAGCCCGGGAAGGAGTTAAGGTGTCCCCCAGTTTCCCTGAACTGGCTACCCTGGAGGGGGCATCCATTCATTCAGAGGCTCAAGTTCTTACATCTGTGAGAGAAATCTACAAACTAGGGCACTTGCCAGGCATCTTGAGAATTTACTGGGCTAATCCAGCCAAGATTTTTCACCTCTGAGCTGAAACAGACCTCCTTACTCCATCCAGGAAGAATTCAGCCCCATTATTGAATTTTCCCTGGCTGCCAGCCAACCACATGTGTTCATGGAGAGGTCTAGGTTACCAACTCACCCAATCTTGCATAGGGACAGAGTCTCCAAGGCAAACTCAGTGTCCCACATACAAGGTGGTCCTCTCAGATCTGGAACACATGGGCACCAAGACTTTTAGAGGTATATGCTAGTCCTATTATTGCTGTTACAAGTTACCATAAATTCAGTGGCTTGAAACAACTCAGATTTCTTATGTTACAGTTCTGGAAATCAGATATCTGAAACTTGTCTCACTGGGCTAAAATCAACGCATTAGCACATCTGCATTCATTTCTGAAGACTCTAGGGGAGAATCTGTTGTGTTGTCTTTTCCAACTTCTAGAGGCCACCTGAATTCCTCAACTCGTGGCCCTCCTCCCCCATCAAAGCTAGCAATGGCCCTTTGAGTCTTTCTCACATCACATCACTCTCTCTTCTTCCTACCTTTTCCACTTCTAAAGACCTTTGCAATTACATTAGGCTCATCCTGGTTATCCAGGATACTCTTTAATGAGTTGATTAGCAACTTTAGTTCCATCTGCAACCTTAAATTCCCTTTGCATATAACAGAACATGTTTTGTCATCAGAAGCAAGTTAAAGAACTACTCTGAGCCTTTTCTCTGTTACATAAACATTAGGCAGCAGGGTCCCAACTATTCAGATAACACAGGCACGATGACCTGCACTTGCAAGGGCATTGAAGAACCACTTGGACCAGAATTCTTTTAGTTTCTTTTCCTTTCTTCCTCTCCCCTTCTTCTTTGCTTCCCTTCACCCTTTCCTTTTCTCTCTCTCTCTCTCCTCCTTGTACTCTTCCTGTGACTCTTCTTCCACTTTTTTTTTTCCTCCTGCTGCTCCTTTTAATAGCAAGCAAGATCTTGTCCGAGGGCAAAGTCACTCCCAGGCCCTAGAGAAGAGATTTGTCTCTCAGGCAGAAACCTAAAGAGCTCCGGAGAACTGCTGAGTTCACCAATATCAGGGATGATCAGAGACGATGCACTGAACACTCTGGCCTCACGGTTTAGCCTTTTCCACTCTAATAGCATTTCCCTTATTCTTTCTCCCATCTACTCTCAAGAGTATAACCAGGAATATCTGTTACCTAGAAGTCACCCAAGACTGAAATATTACAATTATAAAATCTCACCAATGCTTTGTATTCTGCCAGCCTTTCCAAACCTTTATACCCAGTAGCCTGGATCTTCAGCCTAATAGGAACTTCTAGTACCTTGATCTCCCCATCTTTGGTTTTCTGATAATCAGCATCTCTCTGGGCTCACCACCTTTCTGCCCAGTCATACCCTTTGATCCATCTCCTTAAAACAATACATTCAACATCTCATATCTTGTTCATCAAAATCTAACTTTGTTTTACCCCAGGTGTTGATTTTCTCTGCTCTCTGTTTCCAAGGCTTTTGAAAAAAACTCACATAATTGCATCTAATGGTAAAACTATCAATTCATGTCTCCAACTTTAGCAAGTTCTCAACACAACTTAGCACAAATATACATTCTGCTACTACTCTACAGTTCCTCCTGCTCTTTTCAGAATTTACAAAATCTCTCCAAAGCTTGGAGTTTCCTCACTATAGAGAGAAGACTTAATCCTCCTCAACTTTGCTTCTGCTTAATGGGAAAAGATAACAAATCCCGTTGGTAACCAAGGTTGGTAGCAATAAAAAGCCAACTACCTTTCCTGCCCACTGTAGATAGCAGAACTGTGAATCACTGCATAGTCTCCAAACTATCCCTGAGCTTGTGCAAACATGCTGCCCGTGAGGAAAATCTACAAAACCGTACAAGATTCCAGAGTCGAATGATAGCTAAGAACAGCAACCATTTATTACATGCTGCCTATATATTTGGCTTTGTGCTAAAGACTATATGGGCATTGCTTTACTTAAACTTCACAAAAAACATTATGTGAGTACCATTAGCATCTTCATTTTATAGATGAGGAAATAGACATTGAAAAGTTAAGTAACTTGCCTAGGATTAAGTGGCTATGAAGTAAAATCAGGATGAAACAGTAAAGTTCAGAGAAGTTGAGAGATGTAGCAAAACCACTAACTCAATTCAAATGTAGATATGCTTTACTTACAGTCCCTAGTAATGTCCTCATCCACAAAAAGTGGAGAGGATTAGAATACTGACACACAGACATCATCAGAATGCCTTGGGTGGTAGTTTAGTTCATCATAGTATTTTCCATGTAAAAATGTCATTTGTGACCGAAGATCTAAGATACCTCACAAAGAGCTCCCTCTGTTTCATTAGCAAATAAGGCAGAAAAAATGTTCATACTTTCCTAATAAACCCTTAGGATCACAAGGGATGGCTGAAGTTCAAGGAAAATTAGCTCAATGCATCTTTCAGAGCTGTCATTAGCATTGGAAAGACAAAAATATAAATTGACAGTGGCCAAAAAAACCCTGCCTTGGCCCTAAGAATCACAAATAAATATGCTACAAAAAGAGACTTCATGTCTATTAATTCTGCCTAAATACCACAATCATCATCTCATAACAAAAATTATTGCATCACACCTTATGGTTTTTAAGGTGTTTCCCCTAAGCAGATCAAAGGGCAGAAGAGAGAAACATCTTCATCTGACATTTTCAAGAGTAGTTAGACCTTAACTCCACCTGGAACTCAAAAAGTAGTGACTTCGAACATCATATTTAAATATTGTTGCCACATGTACTATTTTCTTTTAAATTTTTTCTGCAGCCAGACCTCACAAGAATTCACTCGTTTTTTAACTTCATTTCCAACTTTGCAGTAAGTTTGAGATTGTTTCTAAATTTTGTTAAATTATTAAATGTCATAGTCTGTTCTCATTCTTCATAATAATTGAATACTTGGTAGAGATGCTGTAGAATTTTTGGAAATTAGGGAGGCTTATAATGACACATGTATCTATTATATTCTAGAACTTAGCCAATTAAATATCCATGTATAGTAGTTTTTGGTGCAACTGGGCAAAGGTGTCCATGAGGTCAGTTGTGGATCGTGTCATTACCAGATTGGTCTTATGTTGGTTCTGAACCACATGGACACTATTCCCTTTCTTTCATTCAACCTTAAAGATTAAAGCTGAGTTAAAGAATAGTGTGCCCACTTTTTCCCACGGAGAGGAAGAAATTAGGGGTGAAATGTATCAGGGACACTTTCAGTACTACCCATTTAGCCAAAAGAGAATACTCCATTTATTTATTCAACACATATTATTGACTGTCTACTATGTTCAGTCACTGGGAATGGAGCAATGAATGAAATAGAGTCTCTTGCCTCATACATGCATGCAAATGCTCTAGTGCAGATTTGTGGGAGGTCGAGAGATAGAAAATAAACAAATAAGTAAATATAGAATATGTGCTATAGTGATAAAGCAAAGGAAAACAAGAAGCAGGCTAAGGAGGACAAGGAGTGATTGAGAGGGGTAGGTTACAATTTTATTTGAGGAAGGTCAAGAGTGATCTCTCTAATAAGATGATATTAGCATCCGCCTGAAGCAAATAAGAACCTGAGCAAAATAGTTATCCAGGAGAAGACTATTTCAGGCTGGGAAAGCAGCAATAGCAAAGACTGTCAATCAGGAATAAGTACAAATATGCTTGGAGAGCTCAAGAAAAGCAAGGAGTTTGGTCTGGATGGAGTGCGTGGGCAAGTGGAGAATGACGGGAGAAGAGGGGAGATTGTGTGGGTCCTTTGAGACCATACTGACGACTTTGGGGTTACCATAAGCAAATTAAGAAGCATTGGGGATTCTGAATAGAGGAGTAACAAGAACTCCTCTTAGGAGTTAAAAGGATCTCTTTGGGTGCTGGGTTGAGAATGGCTATAGAGAGGTAAAGGCAGATGCACAGAGAACACTGAGGAGATTGATGGATTAGCCCAAGTAAAAGATAGTGGTGGATTAGATCAGGTGGTAGCAAAAGGCAGAGAGAATTAATCAGATTCTGGATTTATTTTAAAGGTGGAAACAACAGGACTTTTTGATTGTTTGGATGTGTGGCAGGAGAGAAAGCAAGAAGTCACAGATGGCTAAAAGGTTTAGCATTGCCGGTAATTAAGATGGGGAAGATGGGAGGTAGA